CTGAAATCATCTGTTGCGAACTGTAGCCGTTGAAGAGAAACATTCTGACAGGACCTTTATTCGAGCATGCTTTTCTTATCTGAGCCTGTATATCCTTAGGCTCGAAGAGCATGCATGGGCGTCTCGGCATGAGGTCAAACCCCCTCCTGTGGGGACTAAGAGGGCCCTACGCGGCTGCACACAAATAGCGGAATCTACAATAGCGGAATCAGCGTGCCGACCTACATGCACGGCCGTGCAGACGCTCACTGATCGAGCGTATGTCGGATATAGCATATAGCGTTTACGGAATCCGTATATCTACGATCAGACTCCTGCTCCAGTTGTTGGAACTCGATGAAAACCTTCATGAACACGTGCGTCGATGGCATGCCGTGCAGTAATTAAACATGGTGTCATCCGCTCGAACCCCTTCGTCGTCATATTTCTTTCCTTCTTGGTGCCCGTTACAGTACCGTTAAACAAAATTGGCGTTGATACACGACAAGGCTGTCCGAGCACAAAAAGCATAAAAAATCTTTTAAGTCTTTAGTGTAATCTTCTATATTTTCTCATACTTAAAAATCTCTCAATGTTAAAATTTGTAAAATTCTAATCAAATTAGTTTTTTAGAGTCACATCTTTTCTTGTCCAGTTTTTTGAGTGCTTATGACCATCCCATGTAAACTGCACGCGCAACGACAGTAGATGGGGTTCGCCACGCAGAAAAAGCTGAAGAATAAGTGGTTGATTCTCCAGTGTGATCGGAGCGGGGAATGAGTGAACGTGCTGACCCTGACATATGAAACGCGCCAAAGGGAGACGCACACTAGGCTAACCGGCTGTGATTTTGGCATCGTCTGCTCGTTGGCGAAGGGTGGGTATGCAGTACTGTACGTACAATCTTTGGTACGACCTGGGTGGCAGCTTCGCAGGCCCGCAGAAATAATTGAACTGATGAAAAGAGGCGATCAAATTTATTGTGTTTAAACTTGGACCGGCAAAAAAAATGTGAATATAACAGAAAAAAGAGTGTGAAAATAATGTTTTCTACAATCATTTATAATACTCCAGTTATACTAATAAATCTCTGCAAATCACATGGTAAATGTAAATAATTGAATCATTACAGATGCCAAGTTAAAAACCTTCTCGAAAACTCATATTCGAAGTAGTCAATAGTTTACTTTGTATTGAATACAATACTCTCAAACGTATATTAACAAGTGTAGATGAAATCACTAAGTATGTTTCCATCGGCCAGCTGGTATATGTTGGTGTGCACTTTTCTAATCATCCTGATATGATTAATTCCAACTATAACTGTATAATTGTAATATCTTACAATTTCTACGGAAATTGCAGATGCTTAATAAATTGACGAAGCCATGTGCAACATATAGTAAAAAATATCATAGTGAGAAGTGAAAGAGATGAACAAACAGATTTTAGAATATTCTCTTACTTGCTTGCGAGTTACATCCACAATTTTTGAGTTAGCCCTTTCAGGATGCGTGATCCCGATGATGATTTCTATAGACGGCTGGCTTTGTTTTTTTACTTACTTAAAACCTGTTCTCATGTCTGGAGGGAAGGTTTTGAGGCATAGGTAAAGACCAAAATGCCCCGTCAATGACACGATGCATTTGGAGCGTAGAAAGCCCTCTAGGAGATACAGGATTAAGTTTCCATGATACATCGATTTCTCAGTACATTCGAAATTATTGTCTATAAAGTTGTATAATTGACTAATATATCAAATCTCTCTATTCTCTATAGAGAACTAAGAATCTACAGCTTAGTTCTTTTCTTTCTCATAATTATATTCGTTCCAGAACATTTTCAATTATTTCTAATGACTTGAATCATGGATTGTATTTCAGTATTACAACATGGATTGCTTGACGGAATTCTTACGTATTCAGAATATAAAGTTTAAAATCAAAATTTTATATTCACGTGTGAAAGGTACTTCTATATGCTAGATGACTTTTTTAGAAGTACTTAACTATAAGTACTTAAGACTATAAGTCATCTAGCATATAGAAGTATCTTACTCACGTTTTACTATACTAGTAAAGTATTGATCTTTAAATGTTGGACGTAAGACACTTTCTCGATACTTGAAATATGTTATGTTATCAGACACAATTCCCATTGGAATGCATTCGTGATGTACTAACCTTTAGGTTTTATACAATTTTCAAGGTGACTTTAAAATTGGCTCATTTGTTTTCGTAAATCACAGTATTTTTTTAACTTTGTTCGCAGTAACATATTCGAACAAGTCTAAATATTCATCTCACGGCTATAGTTTACAGAACAATGGTCATAGAACTAAAAAAACAGCCAATTTTTTATATTCAAATGGAACCAGATATATTCTCGATTGCGATTATATTGGGGCTAGCACCATAAAATCATATTATTTCTTCCAAGTAATGTCGGGTTTTATCAGCCTTATTAGATTTTCTCAGCCCTCTTCTTCTTCCGGATAGCACAAACTTAAGCGAAAAGACGTCTGGATCACAGTCACGAGGATAGATGGATGGTTGAGATACGCTGAGAATTATGGCGTTATGTAGTAGCAGGTCCTACTGCGTCTCCAGAGATGGAATTCGGAGGTGGCACTATCTGCAAGGAACTGTATTTTTATTTGGGGAATGAATGCGTCTTCGAAATCTGTGTTGGCTCGCCTTTCAACATTCCTCATGCTTCTAGGTTCAGACATATTCTACATCGCGTCATTCTTGTGGGCGTCATTTTTGGTAGGTACGAGGCACGAGATCCTTGTGTCGATGAGAATCGAACGGGCATCTGAAAAAAATAGCAGATTTGACTCCACGTACTGTACTAGTCTCATCCTTTTGCAATTCTACTTGGTCCCTCCACATGGAAAAAATTTCGGCACGTTTTGGGTTTGTGGCAGGGAAGAGGACGGTGTTGCCAAATTCACTAGTATTCTCATAGTACTATTCTGTCAGATCCTGTAATATAATTCTCAATGTTTTACTAGATTCCCACTATGATTGTGAACCATTTCTGACCGTTTCGCGGAGGTTTCGAGGATTTCCTCAATGTCCTCACGTACCGTAACCAGACAAGGTCTAAACTAGAAGGCAGCCAAGCCTGCACGTGAAGAAACGAATATCACATGACAGCGATGCCAAGAACAATTTCAACTTTCAATACTAACAACATACATACCAGAAAAAATTGAGGCGTGTATGATGTTGATTCAGAGTTTATTCTCTCGATTTTTCATCTTGAGTGAATTGATATTTCTTCTTGACATTCTCGTAGTGTCTACAAATACTATTCTCAACTATAACACTCAAAATCATACTCTTTTTTTCTTCAATGTGATTTTGCAAATTTGCTTACAATACTCAGTTAATGATTGGTTTCTGTTTTCCTTTTGTACTGGTTCAGGTCTCTTTTTATTAGATTCTTTAGACCAGGAGCTTACTGGTCTTTCGGTCTTTGTTTGTCTCCTCCTACATGTGAAATCACAATAGATTAGTAATTTGGAATTTATTTAACGATATAGTGGTATCACAACAGCTCGTTTGAAGAACTCAAATAGGACAAGAAGTCCATATCTAACAACATTAATTTTTGTTCTATAATGTACTCTACAAAAAGTTGAATGACTATCTCTCTACTTTAATGAGAATAAAATTTGAGATAATTTTTTGATTTACTAAAATAGCATATCTTGGCTCTTACAGGAGCTTCAGGTCCGAGAATTGCCCCCATATCGCTCAACCAAGATTCTCCCTCGTAATCTACCTGAAGTCAACACTTCTGAATACTGTGAGATATGACTAGGTAATTTTTAGAAGACTGTTTGCATATTGCTGTATGATACATAGAATAATGAACTTAGTGCACATATAAAGAATTATAGATTCTAAGATACCTTGATACAAATCTTTTTTTTTTAAATGAAAATATATTTTACATTTGGATGAATGATGTAGTTACAAGGTGTCCAAAAATGTGAGTGAACAAGTACGAACGAAGAAAGATAGCTAAAAAGGGTTGGGGAAAATAAACATTTTGAATAAGACAGCGACAAAATTCCACAAGAGGAATATTAGCCTAGAGCTCAAACAGTTTGAAGGAAATAAATGTCCAAAAAAACATAATTTTAGTAGGAGATCATGTTGTGTTTGATTAATTTTTTTCATCTGCAAAATTTTTTGCTTCTTGAAATTAATAAAATTAACTTCAATCTACACTGCAATTAAAAAACTGGAGTGTAGATTGGCCGAATATAATTATTTGTTAAGAAAAGTAATAACGAAAACTTTGAAGGAACAAAAAATCATTAAATATGTGATCACTATGCTTCACTCCTTTGCGGCTTTCATCATAAACCTAAAGGTATTCGTACCGTAAAGAAATGCGTCATTTGGATCTCATATCTCTTGTTGTGCTTTGCTATTTGTTTCTTATCGATTCATCAATGCAACGAGCCGGATTTTGCCACAGAATCAAGACAATAAACTACATCCTTCTTTGGCTCTGCGGCGACTATGTTCTAGAGTATCAATAGTTGTATGGTTGAATGATTCTACCAGTTGCAATACGGTTGTTGCTATGTAAGTACACATGTGGTTTGTTGTCTGCCTTTCAATCGCCAAAAGTCTTTAATGTGGTAAATATATATAAATATATATTTACTAACTACAAAAATATCTCATTATAAATTAGAGCCGTCCCAATGAAGCAGCGTAATCACGGCCTAATGCTTCGTCACAACCCTTTATCTAAAAAATCCTAACAAACATTTGAGCTATTGACATTGAAGTCATCGGGGCAAAGTATAGAAGACTTAACCTTGCTAAGTACTATAGATAGAGAGACTTGATACAGACTAAGAGTCTACGGGTTACTTGGAGCATGAGAAAAACATGTGTGAATTAGGCACCTGTCAGAGATGTTGTCTACCGAGGCTGGAGTTCTCAAAGGATGCCTGTGAAACACTATATAAGGGGCGCCATCGCAGCCTTCAAACACAACCTCTCAATCGCTCAAAATCTGTACTGGCTCAATCCGGCCATTCTCTTCCTCGAATTCTAGCAGCTGCTCCTGGTCGACGAAGCGAAGATGGCTTACACCATCCACGTGAGAGTGATTCAGAGCAAGCCTACTGCTTGGTACAGCATCGTGGAGAAGACCGCATGGCATTTCGCCCTGGGCGCAACCTGGAGAGAAGTGGACGGCGAGCAGATCCTGACCATGGGCGACAGCGGCACTTCTGGTCTGCTGCGCTTCGAAAACCCCCAGGGCGACTTCTTCATTGTCGCTGTGGGAGTACACGTGTACAAGAGATGGTGCGACGTTGTTCCTGACCTGAAGTCTACAGAAACCGGCACGGCTATCCACCCCACGTACTACCCCGTTGGAAATGTACTTGGGTTTCGCTATGAGATCGTGCAGAAGCAGCTGGCGACCATGGAGAAGAAAAACTCCAAGGGCGAGAGCATCAAGGTTAACTACTACAAGGAGGACGGAAACAATCTATACGCCACAATCACCATCGTTTAAGCTTGGGGCTGCAAACAACGTCTGATGCTGTTTATGGTGTTTAGTCTGCCATGACTCTCGCACTAGTGCAGGAGTGCCGATTTACACCTAACGCAAATTAGACTGCGTTCAGAAGTTCCAGATTAGAGCTTGTGTTGGAATCAATCAGATTTTGTATTCCTTGTCAGTTGATGTTTTGTTCAAACCATACTTTTCGTAGCGACTAGCTGCTAACCAAGCGGTCAGTACAGAATTATGTATGTGGTGTGAAGTTTTCTGCTGAGAAAATGCAAGGAATAAATCGCGTTTCTTTGTTGGTATATAATTCCAATTTTCCGAACTTGTGAACTTAAACAAGTGACATAATTTAACACAAAGTATAACATAGTATAACATGTGCTTTTTACAACTACAGTGGCATTTTTTCTTGATTTTAGATATATTTCATGAATTTCACAGCAGTAATGCAACACTATTCAAGCGTATCTGAATTTCCAAAGCATTCAAAATGATTTGGAAATACTTTTTATATTGGTGATTCTAAATACAAAATTATATTCAGTATCTCGTTCTAATGACATTTGTCATGAGGAGAATTCAAAACATCCTTTGCGCTAAAATTAACTGATAATGAACTGTCGCAAACTAAAATTTAATTGATCTACTTAGAACTTAGAGTTATATCATCCATGTGAAATCTCCCCCAAAATTATTCAACGATTCCATATTAATCCTGTATTGATGACTTAAATGCATTCAAACACCGAATCTTTTTATTTCAGAATTATTTCCCACGAGAAAATATTGTGATGACCATGATATGTCGCCCTGAATCAGCGAAGTGGAGAAAATGGCCGACTAAATCAAGATGTTATAGATATTATCTGTCCATCAGTTTTGATAACAAACGGATCATCTGCATGAAACATTCTATCTTAATTTAAATGTTGTTTCCATATGCATTCGCAATATCCCTAAGATCATCCCTAAGATCATCACGATACCGGTGACAGTTATGGTTTCCGTTTCCTAGTTCAAATATATTCTTCAAGGAAAGCGCTTGACTCCGGAATTTAATATGGTAGATATCGCAATGACTAGTATTTGCGTTGTCTAGTCCGAGGCATAAGAACTGTTCGCAAAGATATGTATGACATAGCTTGGCAGGGCACATTAACCGAGTGACGACACCATATAGCTCCGAGAAACCATTCAGAGAGTTCCACTCACTTTCCCGACCCCACTAACCCTGAGAGAGAGAAAAATAGAAAACATCCATATTAATCCGTAATAAGATCATCTCGAAGTTTGACCTCAGTGCAGCACACCAAGCACTTATCGCTTGGTTAAATATCGTTCACGATGCAATAAAAGAATTCCAACTAAAAGTTAGAACCGCAGTATTGTGAAATAAAATCGGTGCCACCTTGTGTGTCTCGGAATGCTAAGTTCGTCCAGTTCAGCACCATGGCCCTTAACTGCTCTGAAGCATTGAAAACATCGCAACTCTTGACACCTTTAAGTTTTACTAAACGCTGCAGAATCCGCAGAAGCCTGACATATAATAGTTTTATAGTCATACCTTACCTCTATAGCTTCTATTGCCCCCTAGAAGTTCGAGAGTTCTTACCCTGTGGTTGTACCGCCACCTACATCGTGTCTTCCGTCTTGAAGCATTGCAGGAATCCCGGAGACTGGATCTAAAACCAGACAATCATGCACTTCCTACCTCGTCCAACTCTGCAAAGCAATGAAAGCATAAGAGCTGCAGATCATTTGGACAGTTGCGATGCTACACATGCACTTTTCTTTACCAGACTCGTGAACCACTCCCGAACCAACATCAGGAGGTACATACATGCTCTCACGACACACAATCGATCGTATGGATTCAAGAGCAGGATCCTATGTTCACTGGCATGCACTCTAACGATATGCAATCAACTAGCTTAGCTGGTTCATGGACTGATCGAAGGACTGTTGTCAATGGTTTGACGTGACAACGCAGCCACTTCAGAAGATTCTTCAACAGTGTGTTCCTAAACTCCAGGCTTGTGCTCATGCCCAGAAGTTTCCCTTTCGTTCTCAGTCAGATGAGTTGGTGAGTACTGGTTCCTGCGTGCGAAAGCTAGCCTTGACTGACAACTCTGAACTGGAATCATGAATCGCTTCTATCAATCCCGTAGGACTTGTGCTATTTTCTCGCTCATAATCTGCTCCTGCTATTTACATACCAATTCGGATCAGCATTGCAGGCCTCCAGCATGTGACCCGAATCAGTGTGGAATGCATATGATCATATGTGAAACCGTAAAGTATTATTCTGTAATCGAAGCAAGTCTCGATACCTCAGGCGAGAACAACCATTGAGGAGATGGATGAACTGGAAGATCATGATGAGGACTAAATCCACGTACCCAAAACCTTGGGCCTGATATGAGCTTCAGGGAAGCTTCATATTCATGCACCGCAGACCGATAAAACCACGTGGACCGACCACTTGAACTACCTACGAGCACAGATCTCGTGCGACATTGAGGTGAGACAAGCTTCAAGGGCACTTGTCTCACCATAATGTGAACGGACCTGACAGAGTACGCCGCATCGACTGAATACAAAGCTCGCCGTCAGCAGCGTGCTGATTCCAGCGTCTGCTTCTATTGGTCCACTGCTTCCTCAAGGATGTGGATCTCGCCGGTCTAGTCGACGGTTTTGTCATCCTACGAGAAGATGTCAACTATAATATTGTAGCAGACATGGGGAGGAGGAGAGGCCATCCAGTTCTTCAGTTTGTGAGGCTTGAGCGGATTCGCAATATCCTTTAACCCCCTACGCGTCGTGTCCAGGCACAGTATGGCCTCGGGGATCAAGTGGAAAGTCTCTGCGCAGCAGCCGAACAAGGTACGAGACACGAGGTTGCCCAGAGAGTAGAACATGGGCTCGTCCTTGTAATGCCTGAAGTAATATGCGTACTGGAGCAGATCGGGTCGTTCATGTTCACGTACAGATGCGGTCTCCACCTCTTCAAAGCCAAAAACTCTCGCTCCGACTTTCGGTACTGCTCCTCATCCACGACCTCGGCTATGCTATCCTTGACCTTGCTGACGACCTTCCTATTTAGCAGTAAGTAGAAGGGATTCAGCGCAATTAACGTGAAGCGGGCAATAGATTCCAATGGTAGGAGTGGAGGGTTGAAAAGGTGCGTGTCCAGAAAGACTGCCTTCCGCACCGCCATTTTCCGGGTGACTGACAGCCCCGCTGCAGCTCCCAATGAGTGGCCTGTCACTGTCACGTTCGCTCGTCCATGATCCGCGCATAGCCGTTCCACTGTCTTCCTCAGCATCTTGACCAGGCTCGAGGTGTGCAACCTCTCGAAGAAGATTTTCAGGTCGGATAATAGATCCCTCTTCGAGGCCGTCCCTCGGATCGCAACCACCCACTTCGGAGCTAGAAAGTGAGCACCTGCTTTTCGGTGGAACACGGCGAAATGGACCAGATCCTTGGCGCATTTGTCCAGCTCTGCAAGCAATTGGAGCAGGCAAACCTTCCTGTCAGTTTTCAGAAGACTTGGCCATTGGTAATCAGGAAGTTGAAGGATACTTTCTACGCTTATGCACGCGGACTATGAAATGCGCACTAAGATGGGTGCCAGACCTTGACCGAAATGGCGTTGATCTTTGGGTTTCAGAACTCTGGTCAGACGTGCGAGGTCGAAGTCTACGAGATTGTAGTTGTCTGACCACATATCCGAGCATTCTTTGGACCAGTTGAAATTCATCCAAAACACGTGATTACTTGCGGCTGCAGCGTATGGCTTGGCTTCCTTGTGCATCATGTAGACTGATGTCACCAGCCTGCCAAGAATTATGCGCTTGTATTCCTTCGTTCTGGAGGACAACCCCGAGCAGCTACCGTCAGTGTTTGAGCTGAATCCATGATCACTCTCAGGTCAACACAACATCACAAAGCACATACGGACTGTAAAACTTTAGCTCAATTTCAAGCCTCAAGCCGCAAATGCACTGCCACGATATTGAATGAAGAGCCTCATGCATGATCAGTTTCTAGATCTGCAAGTCTCGACGTTACTATTGGTCTTGCTCCGGTAAATGATCATCCTGTTCCCATTTCTTCTTCTCTCGTCTGTGCTTCCGGTACGCTATGATTCCCACCAATAGAGCCGCCCCTAACATTTTAGAAGTTCCGAGCTTAAGGATTTTGTGTGTGCCGAGAACTTTCCAGTCACTAAGCAGGCTTCCAATTCCTGCAGCCAGTGAAACAGATATCTGTCGTTAAATCCGTGAGCTGATTCCATCGTCGGATTTCATATCTGTGTATCTGTCAGAGGAATGATTGCTCAACGCCTTTGACAGATACACTCGTTCTTTCCCGAATGTGAGTCCTTTTTCTTGACCGCGAGAATCAATTTTCCTGAAGGCAAACCCGTGCCCGGCAGCCTGAATGTGCCGTTGAGATGCACAGCCGAGAGAAGTATTTATACATGTAACTGAATTGTACAAACTTGATGTCGAGTATGAAGATTTCAGAGTTCAGACAGAATGCTGCAATAGCCAAAGAAAGGCAATTCATCCACATGGTCAGAAGTAAGTACCTTGCAAGGTCATCTTAAGCTGAGGACGATGGCTAGCCTCTGAAACCCTCGCAGGTATCGCCGGACACGAACCACTGTCTGGTGGTGCATGAAGAGGCGAGGACAGTACTGCTGATGAGAACTCCGCATCTGCATCTGCGTCTGTGGGGTTTTAAAACGAAGTTTCATTGATTCACAGACGCTAAGGTGGATTTCATTCGATACGAGCATGGAAGCACGGGGTGTGTCTGATCAGTGATCAGACACACAGTGGGTGATCAGTGATCACCCACTGTGAATAATCAATCAGCAAAACTGGAGCGATTTTGTTTGTGCTCCAGAGCATTCTGGAATGCTCCTAGGTCCACCTGCTCAGCAGCCCAACTTTGGTTCCTACTGCTGTAGATCTTCACTTTCGAGCCCGTCCACTGGTTTACACTTCGAATGCTTTTGAGAGTTGAGAAAACTCTCAAAAAGTCTCTGATTTTATTCACTAGAATTCAGTTGTTTGATATCAATGGCAAATCGCAGTGACGAAAGACAAATTCCAATGTCGACTTTCACCGAAAACCACTTCGAAACAATTTTCCAGTTTTACCTTTTTTGCAACTTTCTATGGATGCAAATGCTCTTCTAAAGACAGGTAGAGCTCGACCTCTTCTGAAATTTTTTTAGACGTGCTGTGCAATTGCATATCGTATGAGTTTAGAAAAACAACACTTTTGAGGGGGTTTATGTTCAAGTTATGAGAAGATTATATCCATAAGAAGGCAATATCTGTTATGAGTAAAATTTTGTATCTTAATGATTTCGACGCAATGTCATATGAAGAATTGACATTACCTATGAATACTTCGAAGTCTTGGACGATGTTAAATCATTGTGAGGAGGTCATGATGATGTTAAACCTCTTCTGCGATGTCAAGGATCGGCGCTGTTTACATCAGGGGCTTCATCTCTCTGCTCCTTTAACTCGATCTAATGTCGAAGTCTGATAAAATATTATACTTTTAGTACATGCTATGGGAGAAGTATTAGAAATAATAAAACCAGGCATCCACCAAAATATATGCACTGCAAAATTACAAATTACGTACAGTTGTACGTCAATAATATTGTTGCTGTTATGACTCTTCTCACTGGAGCACGAGGATTTGTCATCGGATTAACCCGAAAGGCCTGGAGATGTACAGAATAGTATTTATTAGGTGTAATGAGTCAGTGCAAGTGATTCGTTATACAAGCATTAGAGCGAAATAGGACTGGAGATCACCACGCGAATAACAGCGCGTTTCTATGATACCAGAATAATGCAATGGACTGTATGTAGTGCACACGCGGCCAGACAGAGAACTCTTGTCCGGTGCAGAACACTAGCTCAGACTGGAGGCTGATTGATTTGAATCAATCAAATCAATCAAATCAATCTGATTGATTTGAATCAATCAGCCTCCAGTCTGAGCTAGTGTTCTTGAGAGATCGATGTTGTGCACTTCAAACTATGATCTGCTCATTGAGTCGGCTAGCTGAAAGCCTCCTGTCCAGTGATATATTCTGTACCGACCGCCATATTCTAACACGATCGATGGTTGAGGCAGTTACTACCGAGTGTCTGCGACTCGGTGGGAAGGAGAAGAGGCAATTTTGTGTTAACAAATGCACAACAAGATTATGGGAAAGGCTCCAACTTGAAGGAAGGAAGAAATTTCCGGATAAATACATGTCTTCAATCCTTGACAAGGCTTAGGATGGTCCATATGCAGTACCGTCCTTAAAGTTGACAATCAGATGTTGTTGACCAGGAGATAACAATGCAGGTACTAGACCATGCCATAATGCGGCGAAGATTCGATGAATTAAACCCTCAACAGCAGACTGGAACTTGAATCTGTCGGCATCTCCATTTTGAGAGCTTCTTATTATTTCAGTTATTCTTCAAATCCCTGCGCCCTAATTGGTCGGGAGTAAAGCGCGAGCTGCAAGATACATCTTCCATCTCTCTCATGATGAATCCTCATTCCATTGGGTTTTGGTCCATCAACTTGATTGTTCTGGCAAGTGGGTCAGGAGCTTCGATTGACCGTACACTTCGACATGTGACCTTCACTCCGTACATTGAGGTGGGGTCAAGTTGACTTTCGAACTAGTACTGCACCAGGTCAGCTGAACCTGTTCATCGGTGAATCAGTTCCACTGAGAACACCGGCGTGAGCGTGCATTGACAACTGTTGTTGTACCAGATCAGCTGACCATGTTTTCAGATAAGGGAGTTGGGAGCTTACTGCAACACGATTTTGGCCAAAGCTTAGTCTCGTGCAATTTTCAGCGGAGGAAATCACGTTCTTGAAGCTTCCTGTCAGTGCTGATTCCATGAGATTCATCTCAAGTTTTCCATGGACCCAAATCAGATACTATATCCTACGTCAATTTGGCGCCTCTTCAAAGAATTTCTTTTACATCACCCTCCAATTTGGCCTGATCTCACCCTGAAGCAAGTCGACGCCTATACAAGAGCATTTCCAGCTCAAATGCACTTCTTGAGTTCATAACTCCAGGGCCCACCATGAACATATCTGACATGAGCCAAGCAACAAATGTCCATCACCGAGGTTGCAGAGTTTCATCCTGCAAAGAATATGAAAGTCATCTTATCTTGTATCTGAAGGTTGACCCTCACATTTAATTTTCTATATTTGGTTCAAATACCGAGCTCGGCAGCTGCTGCTCCCTCGATCTCCTCAGAGGAAAGAGTCTTCCATGGGATAGGCTGTTAGGTTCAGGTATCTGCGTAGATATTTAGCCTGGCAGGACTGAGATTCGATCTGTATGGTACAAACTACACACGAGACTAAATTGCAGCATAGATCAGAACGGCAGAATACCAGAAGCCAAGGCAAGGGACAAACCTTATCAGAAACAATTTCACATGAAAAAACACTGCATACAAGAATCTTGATGGACATTTTCATTTCAGCTAAGCATGGGCCGGCCGAAATATGTTGATCTGCTCACAATATGTATTCCGAAACAGAGTGGCAATGTTTTATGCAAATGGACATTACATTGTTGAATACTCCCTGGTCATTTAAAATCAACCTTTATCAAATGTCTGACTTTACTATGTGAGTGAGGGATTTACTTCGAAAATTTGAAGTCAAGACGACTTTCAGATAGTTTGTTCAATGGCATGAGGAGTGAATCTCCTCATGCCATTGAACCTTCGGACCTTACATTTAAACATCCAGCTCCATGTGGGCTGGAAGTACTCCCTGTCCTGTAACCCGCGAGGTGATGCCCATCACAGAGAATCTGTTGAACTAGGACTGGTATCTGGTCACAATTCGTCACAGGATTGAGGATATCTGGAGTGTTCTGCCTGATACCGTCAGTGTCAATATACCTCCCGAAAGTGGCGGCTGTGAGCGCAATGTACTACAGTTAATTTTTTTGTGGAAGTTTGACTGACTCTGCTTATTATGCTGCGGCTGCTGCTCTACTGCTGACTGCACTCCATAGGACTTGGACGCAACTTTAAGATTTTTAAGACTACGCATTTATGAGTCGATAGCTCTTCGTTTTGATTGATAGATGACTTGTCACTCAATAATCCAGATATTTGTATGTATATTATGATGTGGACTCGATCTCATATATACCATATGACATACTATGTCTTCATTCTGCCATATACCATGACATAATGGATCGCTTCAGTATTTCAAGTACAGAATATATAGCTTATTCCATAAATTTACTAACGTCACAATAAGGGAATGCCCATTACTCCAAGCAGCTCGTCGGAAAGCCCAAATCCCTATATCTACTTCCGTAGTTACCTCACAGATTTTTTTAGTATATTCAAAGCAGCAGCCGAGCTTTGTTTTCGACCTCAAATCAAAGTGATAATCAATTGTAATAAAATAGTGAACTCTAAAGTAATCAACTTCCAATTTTCTTGTATTTATTCAACATTTTCTTCTTGACAAGGTATATCACAAAAAAATAATTCTACAAGAATCAATCAGCTTGTTTTTTATATTGAAAGTATTTCATTGCTTGACCTGTCGCATATATATAATTTTTATAAACATTTCCATTTATTCCTATATATGTATTGCTGTGTACAATCCGCCCATCACACTATGGAAGATGGATACCATAAGGATGGGTTGACTTATAAATTCTTCTTGTGCAAATTCACTAAATCACTTTGTGTAATGATGATTAGACTTTCATTCATCCAAATTTTATAATGTTTATGCTTTATTTTTACTTTACTTTCTCATAGTTTCTTTTATACTAATCATCGAATGCACAATTTTTGTATTATGATGAATAGAACGAGTTACAACATTATAATCTCACATAAAATAATTTTTGCAAGTTGATGAGATAGTTGTTCATGCAAAAGCAATAGTAGTAAACATGTACTATATTACAATTATCGTTTTGCACCTGAATTATTATTGTGCAAAGATCTACGTTAAAAGAGTAAGGGATCAAGTGCCTAGTTCAGTCTATACCAGAAACTTAGATTGTAACGAGATAATAATTTGTTTGATTAGATAGGCTTATCTAATCAAACATTTGAGATTAAAACTGTATGTTAATCTTTATCGTGATAAACAAAATGTTTTACATCTTGCTACAAACCGAATGAAACAAATTGACAT